AACAAACAAATATAAAATCCCTAAACAGCTCATCGATTTGTATGTTTGCGCTATTAAAAGTAGACAATATTGAACAATGATCTGAAGTTGTCATGCAACTGACAACAATATTATATTTCAAAATACCTGTATATATGATGATATTTTACAAATATCTCGGGATTTTTGGACCAATTTTAAACTAAGCAAGGCAAAAAGTCTCCATTCAAGAATATATCTTCTTCTCAAAAGGTAAAATACTTAAAATACTTGATTAAATTGTTTACTTCGACGGTATGTAAATTAACAGCGTTTGACTTGCAAGACGTCAAAAACGGACGATTTCAACGCGCTGTCGTTTATCGCGTATTCATTTGCCAAAAGAAGTATTTACGTCAATTGAAAGCTTGCTTATTAAAGAGCCAACTAGTAGAAGCATGATCGATTTGGAGCTTTATCGCATGGTGAAAATCGGTTTTGTTAAGAGGGTATCGTAAATGAAGTAAGATAGTGTGCTCCAAAACTACGATTATATCTATTCCTAAAAGTAACTCAGATTTCCTGTAAGTCATGTATACCGTCCTTTGAATAACCGAAAACAAGATTTTTAGGGTTTTAGATCGATTAGAAACGGTTGTCGTCGTGAAATTTATCTGTAAAATCAGCGCATATTTTCCCAGAAAAATGGCGATTTAGGGTGGTCGTGTTAAAACGGCATTTTCTCAAAGTTAAAAAAGCATTTGACCTAAAAAAATATATGGTGCATTTTCCGATATAATAAGGTATATCTGGGCAAAATTTGAGCAAAATCGATTTTTCAGTCGTGGCCGCGAAATATCTCATATGTTCGATTTTTACTGACATTCACTCTTAAATCTCGTGCTGAAGCCATTTTTAATTTGTTGGAAAAGACACACGCCCCTGGTTTACAAAATTTGAGTTCGAGAAATTTTTTTTCATTATTCTACATTATAAGTACCCAAAGAAGTTATATATATATATATATATATATATATATATATATATATATATATATATATATATATATATATATATATATATATATATATATATATATATAGTAATATCAATGAAACTTTCTGCATATATACTACACGAGAAGTTGAAAAGTTAGATGGTCTTTGCATGGGTAATTGTAGAATATTTCTGAAGCCATTTCCTTGGTAACTTGCGTAAGAACTATACTAAGTGGGCTGAGTCTTGATTTTATGCCCTCTTAAAAATGGCATTTAAGCCTAGTTTTCATTTGGTCGTTAGTTGTCGCTACCACGAGAAGCGGTAATGTGAAATAGTCTAATATAATAATAGTCTTTTGTGTGTTATATGCAAATCAGTCTTAATGATTGCAGAGGGTTTTGTAAAGTTTTGTTGATAGTCCGTGTGTTGTGACCTCGAAAAGTGCCTAGAAAACGATTTTCATTAAGCATGTCTTAGATCTGAAATATTTTTACGGGAACTAACACTTTCGAACACGCTGAGTTCAAATCCGAAAAGTTCCCACTCCGTAGACCCGCAGTTTTTTCACAAAATGCTATTTTATCTTCACTAATTTCACAACAATTTTTTTCATTGTTCAACGGTACGGATTGATGACGATACACGATTATGTCACTCAAAAGGACCAATTTCTATTAACCATTCTTCCTTTTAACAAAAGATCGGTTTTGCTCGAATCATTTTGAGTAATGCAATCTTATGCGTGTTGGACGTAAACAACATATCTTGTCTACAACTTTGAGAAGGTACAGATAATTCCTTCTAATATCCTTAGTTCTGGATCTATTTCTATAAAATCACAAGGACGTTAATGTTAAGTCTTTGGGCTATGTCTCTGGGCTGAGAAATAATTCCTTACATGCAATAAGATTACATAACTCAAAATGATTCGAGCAAAACCGATCTTTTGTTAAAAGGAAGAATGGTTAATAGAAATTGGTCCTTTTGAGTGACATAATCATGTATCGTCATCGATCCGTATCGTTGAACAATGAAAATATTTGTTGTGAAATTAGTGAAGATAAAATAGCATTTTGTGAAAAAACTGCGGGTCTACGGAGTGGGAACTTTTCGGATTTGAAATCAGCGTGTTCGAAAGTGTTAGTTCCCGTAAAAATATTTCAGATCTAAGACATGCTTAATGAAAGTGAACGATATCGGGTCACAACACACGGACTATACTTTCCAGACCCCGTTGAAGATATAAGAAATCCGTTAAATAAGTAATACTTATAAGTAAGCCACAAACGAGAGATCCCAGACCCATGTAGAGGTCCTAGTACCTATCCCAAAATTAAAATAAATCATGTAAAATTAAATAAAAGTTAGAAAGTAGTGAAATACTTCTCCACAAAATGAAAATAACGAAGTAAAACGTTACTTCTTAAAACGACTTCGTTCCAAGTAAAAGAACTCCAGAAAAAGTTTACTTTGTTACATGCTGGCTTCTCAAAAATAGCACTTAAGTAAACGAAGTACATTTACTTGTTACTTGACACCACTGTAAGTGGTAGACAAGTCCAGGTCGCACAGTGTTAGCCTGCGTGGCAGGCGGTTTTTAGGGAGGCGAATGAAATACCGCCTGCTGCAAAACTGGGTTTAAATTAAATGAATTACCGCCCCTGACAGCATCAAAGCTTTTTATAAATGTCATTAATTAAGTAAATATTCAAATTAGCCACTCCCATCCTATTGTACTTTAGTTTAACTCTTTTTCGTTTGGGGGTCATTTAATAGGCCACATAAAATACATTCCTTGATTCTCATCACCGCCTGACTGTATTCTAAATTTGACTTATTTTCGTTATACAATATAAATGTACCACCTGATATTTTATATTGGGTTTTTAGTGCCATTTTAAACTGCCAATTTCAAACAAACAGAATCT